GTTTAATACTCCACTAGGTTAGTAAAGACAACCCGATCTAGAGTATTTACAGATGAAGCTGACCTGCACTTGAAGCCCTGAACAGGTCAGTGATGTTGCTACATTCCACTGCAGCTTCTGGCCGCTTCCTCTCCTTCACGGAGTCTCGCGCATCGCTTCTGTTCGGAACCGTTTGACGGAAGCGCGGAACGCACGTGAGCGGATTCGTATAGCGCAGCGCTGCCGGTCAAGACCGATTTATGATTTATTATCGAATGAAAAAATCAGAAATAATCACTTTGGTACATTGAGAAGGCATAAATATAAAATATTATTATTAATAATAATAATAATAAAATTAAATAAATAAATAAATTTTAAAAAACAGGGCAGCGGGCCAAATAAGCCGGCAGGCCACCGGGAATTCTCCCGGTGCTCCCGATGGCCAGTCCGCGCCTGATCTCTGCTTTAGTTTATATATGACAAGCTTTTATCAATGCTTAGTTACAAGCACACAGCCTTACATATTACTTAAAAGCAAAAAACACCTATCAAAATAGTCAGTGTGGTTATAGGCACTAAAATACAAATGAAAGAAAAATGTATTCTATCCATTACCCCGTATCTATTAAATCAAAGCTAAACAGATTATTTAACACTCACCTCAGCTGTGAGATGTAGGGCAGACACTGCAGGAATCCCTTCACTTCACTCTCTTCATCTGTCCAGTCTCTCAGCTCTACTGGTTTCTTCTCTGTTTGGAGTTTCAGCACTTCTAGGAGGATGGAGCTCTTTCTCTCTGAGAGCTTTATGATCCAGACTGCAGGAGCTGACTGATAAATTGGCTGTAATGCTGTAAGGACACTCCTGCCTGTTTGAGTCTCATAGTCCTGCACATGTGACCACAGATCCAGCAGGAAATTACATTGATCAGGTTGACGGTTTGTGCTGTTTTCACTGCAGGGGAAAGATGTGTAGCTGCACACAGATGTTAATAGTTCAGTGTAATTTTCTCCTTTATTTGCCTGAAACTCTGATGCAGAAACAAAAAGATTCAACAGAAACTTTACAGCAGGTTCCTTATTCCTATAGAAAATGTCATCAAACCTGTGAAGACACACAAAAACATCACTTTAATGTCTGTTATAGGATATGACATTTTTCAAGCAACTCGCATAATCATTTAAAAATAAAAACAAGAAAGCTGGTGGAATGATTTTTCATAATTCACTATGGACTATTCAATCAGTGATTAATATACGTTTATATTTTAGTAGTTGAGTGGTGTGTTGTAAATGCAATCCTACATTGAATTTATAATAAAGCAGGGCTGAATGCTAAGGATTTTTTCTACTGACCCAGTCAGGACAGTGGTTCAGATATATTTTACTTGCCCTTCCAAAAATGTTACTGGTACAACAACAACAACATCAAAACAATAGGAATGGTTATTGTTCTGGTCATTTTTGACCCAGGTAAACTGCTGCTTCCAAGATGTCAGAAACATCCATTTCCTCTGGCCTCATAATTAGAAGCTGCCACCATGTTATAAGAAATTTTATTACTGTTTATTCGCTGTTCACCTTCATTACTGTTTACGTGAAGATGCACACACTGTCTGACCAGCTTTCTGTGCATGCTTTTCAAGTGTGTGCACAGAAAAATATCTATCTGATAGCGTGAGTAGTGAATTGTTTTCTTCTGCATCTCATTGCAATTGAACCCTTTAAAACTGTTTGAACATTTAAACTGGTAAGTCTTAAAAAAAGATGCAAAAGATAAACTTTTGTGACAACACACTACTGACCCAAATGGAATAATGACAATTCTGTGAACTGTCCCAAGAGTCCTTCACGTCGGCCCGGTCACTGGGCAGTCCTTACTATTGAGCCATGTTAAATATTTTTGTGTAGATTATCTTTTGGAATCTCTACTAAATGTAAAACAATTCTTAAGTAATTAATTTTCTTATAACACTCATTTAAAGTATAACCGGCACATATTGAAGTGAAATTAATGTAAAACTGTGTCAGACCAGTGAAAAGTGATGAACGGATGTTTTTATAATTATCTTTAGTTCACATTCAGATTTTTTAATGTTAAGAAATATTTAAGTTGAATATATTTAATTGTGAGCTTTAAATACAATAAAACAAGCACAGAATGGTGTTTTCCATAAAGGTCTCACCTCAGCTGTGAGATGTAGGGCAGACACTGGAGGAATCCCTTCACTTCACTCTCTTCATCTGTGCAGTCTCTCAGCTCTACTGGTTTCTTCTCTGTTTGGAGTTTCAGCACTTCTAGGAGGATGGAGCTCTTTCTCTCTGAGAGCTTTATGAGCCAGACTGCAGGAGCTGACTGATAAATTGGCTGTAATGCTGGAAGGACACTCCTGCCTGTTTGAGTCTCATAGTCCTTCACATGTGAACACAGATCCAGCAGGAAATCACATTTCTTATAATCCACAGAAAATAGCAGTTTCTTTACAGTTTCTTCTATTGTCTCTTTCTGATGGAGCGCAGCTTTCAGACACAAATCCAGTATGAATAATCTCTTTCTTTTCTCCCATGATTCATTCTGTGGTACAGCAAATCTAAAGAAAGAGTGAACAATATTCTGTTAGAGATGACAAAGGAGAAAAGTGTTAATGTGAAAATAATCAGACCACAATGATCTGCTGAAATATAGTTTGTCAAATAAAAACAAATCAGATCAGCAGGAGAGAGATGAGAACTACATCATACGTGCTTTGAGCAACAATGCATGGTCCTCTCCGATACCCAGATAGCACACAAAATTATGACAAAATTCTACCCCAATATATAATTTCATGATGATAAAGTTAACCAGGATTCTGCAATGTCTATTTTAAAATCATATTTTAAAGTATTACGTCTCTGCATTGCTCCAGAGATGGCTATTGTTCTCAACCTGAACATGTGGGAGAAGCAGTACTTCTAATTTGGACAAAGAAAACTTGTAAAATCTAAATTTTTCTATATTAATTTGTCCAATTTGAAAATGTTTATTTAAGGTGCAAAAAGTCATAAACAAAAATCTGAAAAGAAGTCAATATTTAACTTTATCGGGCAGCATTTTGTGTGTACAGTTCTAATAAAAATGTTGGTTTTCAATATATAGGATTTAAAAATAAAACAACTGTTCTAAAATTTTTTCCGTCATGGTTAATTTTTTTTAAATGAATGGACGCAAAAGCACACGGACCGTGCATCGTTACATCCCTAGTAAAAATCGATACATCCCACATAGCAGAGGATCTTGGCCTGAATGTGGCCTCAAGCTGGCACTGCTGGCCCACTGTTGGCAGCAGCATTCATCCATGCTGTCAGTCAAAGCTGGCCCATCATGGCACAGCATGAAAGCAAACAACATGAGTGCCAAATCCTGGCTGGAGTTGTGTGGCCCAGAATAGTCCTGCGATCATGTGACCTTGGGCCAGAGGTGGTGAACTCAAGTTACATGACTTGATTCTGGTCTGATTTGAGTCTAAAATGTAATTTGCGATTCACTGTGATTGAATGGCACTGCTCAAGCTGAAATACCTAAGGTAGAGAAGCATCTCTCAAGAGCCATTCTTTTTGATATCAACTCTTTGAAATGGATTATTTAAAAAAAAAGATATTTGCTGAATGCACAATTTGCAAAGCCATAAAATCGGACACGACCATCAAAACCTCAAACTTAATTCTCCATTTCCAAAATGAAAACTACTTTTACTTAATTTGACAAATATCTAGAGAGAATAATGTGCAAAACAGCATGCTAATTTACACAAAATTGTGTTTTCAAATGTAGGACAAGTCTGTCAATAGATTAAAATAATTAACAAATAATGTTATGTTTTGTATTTAATGTCATGTCAAACTTTAAATTTACATTTTCCTCTTCAAATCATAGTGCTTTAATGTCAGATATGCCCTTCTTTATGATGATGCAAAACAATACACATTTTTCTTAATTAAAAAGTGTTTATCAATTAGTTAATTTTTACATATGATTCACATATTCAATTCAAGTTTATTTGTACAGCGCTTTTCACGATACAAATCATTGCAAAGCAACTTTACAGCAAATTAAGTTTCTACAATATTTAGTGGTAGCTTATCAGTGGTGACTGTCAGTTAATGTACATATGGCAGAAATGTACGGATAAATCCATTAAAGACAATCAAACAGACGATGAATAATATTAACAGCAATTATTATATGATGCAATCAAACTTATAGCAAAATGTGGTAGTTCTGTATGATAGTGATAACATATGATAGTTATGTAATATTTCCAGAATATCAGCATGATTGCAAATCTATTAATAAAAGAATAATTGAAAATGAACTGCAGTTGAACAGAGTAGACTGATTTAACTGGATTTAATATGATTAAGATGATATGAACATTTCATTCTGTTCTGTATGACTTCTCTTTTCAAACAGTACATAATATTAAACAAGACTACACTTTAATCTTAAATCAGTAATCTTCATCTCTGTCCTTAATAGCGATAATAACAGTCAAATCCCACACTCATTAAAATGTAAAAATTTTCCTCCTCAAGAAGTGTTGTGACAAAGTTAGTGATATCATCGTTAGTGATATCAAATGCTCATTAGCTCACTGCTTCATCACTGATTGTGACATGTTGTGTTTAAGATGATGCAATGTATGGGTTAAAATTAGATATTGGCAAAGCTTGCAACCAGGGCCGTCGCTAGTGGGCAGAGGTGGAAAGTAACTAATTACAAATACTTTCGTTACAGTACCTGAGTACATTTTTGCATTTTTTTCTACTTTCTTGAATATAATTAAATTTTGGTACTTTTACTTTTACTTGAGTGAAATAAAACTAAAGTATTCAACTTCGCTACATTTATTTTTCACCAAAAGTACAAAGTACAAAAAACATAAATAAATAAATGGACAAAGGCGGCGCCAATGGAGAAACAGAGCGAGCCGGCGTTTGACAGGCACTTTTCAAACTGCTGGGGTGGAGCCCTGCGCTTCAGCCAATAACAGACAGGTCTGACTCGGATGCAAAACTATGGAATAAAATCGCTGTCAAAAATAATCGTACGTAATTCAAAGCATTTGTGTGTCATTTTAATTTACTCGTGCGTAATTTAAAAGTATTGTGTGTAATTTAGTTTTTTGTCAGAGTTGGATTCCAAAATCTACGGCCACGACAGTTAAACCAATCAAAATTTCCAGTTCGGCTGCGGGGTGGGGCGGGGATTTCTTATCCAATTAAAATACATAAGAAAATATAAAGCCTGTCAATTTTTTTTTTTTACATTTCTGTCCCCCTCATTTCTGAAATGATGTCTATGCCCCTATGTGTGCAGGACAGAAAACAGTGCATGAGTCTTCTTGTGCTAGAATGGTTTAAGTCATATTAAAATGCGCACAAAGGAATCGATAAGAGGAATCAAAATTTTAATTTTATAACAACTAGACAATTCCTGACCTTAAGTATCCTATTCCAGAATTGGAATAGATTTTGGATTCCCAAGCCTAGGTATGGGTTAAAATGTTAAATAAAATGCTCTTTTTTTTTGTCCTACCGAAAATGTGCCTGGAGTCCACCTTTGTTATTATAACAAACTACACTTTCAATGTGATTTTTAACCATTAAAATCAAGAAGACTCGTGTGCGGTTTTCTCTGCTGCACACACATCCTTGTGTAAGTGTTCTTTAGCCTGTTGATTTTCATTCATAGTATTCAGCTAACAAGGAAATATTTAGCAATAAGAGTTCAAATAAATGTGAATGATATCTAAGATTTTTTATTTATTATTATAATTTTTGTACCTTATTGGAATCGACAAGAATCTGAGTCATAAAAATTCAAATGATGGCAAACTTTACCCATACCCCAGTGTTAGGGTTAGGGTTAACCCTGCTCCATAATGCTCACATCGTCTCAATTTGGGAAAAAATTGAAAAATAATACTAAAGTACTTTGTAACGTAGTAACTTGAGTAGTTTTTCAGCAAACTACTTTTTTACTCTTACTTGAGTCATATTATTTTTCAGTACTTTTACTTGTACTCATTTGTACTCATCAGCAATACTTTTACTTAAGTACAATTTCTTAGTACTCTTTCCACCACTGCTAGTGCGATGAAAGGTGGTGACGATTATAGGGGCCCACGGCGATATCAACTGACTGCCTGAGGCCAGCATTAAAGACACTTAGGACAGTTGACGGGCCACGGCTGCACATTGTCACGAAAGCTTATCATTTGCATGTGTTTTTAAGCCTTTCCAATTAAAGAGATTTTAAAGCATTCAAACACAAGACGCGAAAGAACTCAACTGAGTACTCGCGCGCTGTGTTCGGTGCGCACAGAGAGCCGCGTCTCAGACGCGCGAACACCAAATTGAGTTTTGCCTCTTCTTGCGCTTGAATGGACAAATACATACAAAATTATGTCGAAATACCTGTCTTGGAAAGTATCTTCAAAAAACGTCTCGGTTACGTATGGTAACCCTCGTTCCCTGAGGGAGGGAACGGAGACGTCACGTCGGATGACCGACAAATTGGGATCTCGCTTAGAGAGACCAATCTACTTAGAGTGTAATCTAAACGAGCCAATGCACATTGGCATGCGATTATTGCATCCAGCTGCCGCTGATCACAGCGTGAGTATAAGTAGGCAGCAGATGCAGCGCATATTCAGGTTTTTGCTGAGGAGCCGAGCCGGTGACCCGGCCGCTCAGCGATGGTACAGGAGCTGTGGCGACGGGACGTGACGTCTCCGTTCCCTCCTTCAGGGAACGAGGGTTACCATACGTAACAGAGACGTTCCCTATCAGTCGGTCACGCTCGACGTCACGTCGGATGACCGACGAATTGGGATCCTCACAAAGGGCCACAAGTACTGCCTCTTCCAGTGTCCTGTGGAAGCCACCTGCGCCCCTACTTTTTGGCATAGGCCAGGGCTTGCACAAGAGGACCAGCTACTACTGCTATGGCACTACCCAATGAGTAAGACTGGATAACACTGGGAAAACGTACCCGTTCTACTTGGAACAGGGACGTTACGGAAGCTTGAACCTTCCCGAAGGAGGTTTCGGAGGCAATACGCATATGGACATCCCTTAGGTGCATATGGAAGAATGGAGGTGATTGAACCCTCTTGGAATGGCAGAAGTCTGCCGGGGAAACACGGGCTCAAGGCTATACCGTGGACTTTACACATATGAGATCCATTTAGGTCTTACATATGGAACCCAGCCTTCTACCGGTTCTTGAGGATTCAGTGAGTGAAGGCCTGGCGCCGGACGCTCCGCCACGTCTGGCTGCCGAGGGGACGGAGGAACTCAACAGGGTCTGCTGTATGGACTCTCTGGAGTGGTTTTGCAAGCCGACCCGAAGCCGGGGCCTCTCAGTGCTTCTAGCCGTTTGAGGTGAGAACACAGGAGGATACCGGCTCAACACGAAGGCTATAGAATCTACCGAACGTGTTAGGGGTCGCCCAGCCCGCAGCTCTACAGATATCCGCCAGCGAGGCGCCACGAGCCAGCGCCCAGAAAGATGCAACACTTCTAGTTGAGTGAGCTGGCAATCTGAACGGGCAGGGCACACCCTGTGCCTGATAAGCCAGGGTTATGGCATTCACTATCCAGTGGGCCATCCTCTGCTTCGAGACGGCATTCCCCTTCTGCCGGCCTCCGTGACAGACAAAGAGCTGGTCTGAGGTCCTGAAGCTTTGCGTCCGGTCTACGTAGCACCTTAAGGCTCAGACGGGACAGAGCAAAACTAGGGCTGGGTCTGCCTCCTCCGAGGGCAGCACTTGGAGGTTCACCACCTGATCCCTGAAGGGCGTAGCTGGAACCTTGGGCACATAGCCGGGCCGGGGCCTCAGGGTTACCTGGTAGTCAGCCGGCCCGAACTCTAGGCACGAATTGTTGACCAAAAATGCGTGCAGGTCCCCTACCCTCTTGATGGAGACCAATGCCGGCAGGAGCAAAGTCTTCATCGAAATAAATTTCAGCTCGACCGTCTGCAAAGGCTCAAATGGGCCCTGCTGTAGTGCCATGAGCACCAGAGTCAGGTCCCAAGAGGGTATAGAGGGGGCCCGTGGAGGATTTAGCCTTCTCGCCCCCTTAAGGAACCTGACGACCAGGTCATGCTTCCCCAGCGACTTCACTTCTACGGGGTTGTGGTTAGCAGCGATTGCAGCGACATAAACTTTGAGGGTGGAGGGAGACAGCTGCAAGACAGGGGCATCTGCTGCTTTCACTGAAGTAAAGTGGATGCCCCTGAACTTGGGAGGGCGCCGGGTGAACTGAATCGCATAGCCGAGCCTGACGGTTTGAAGGAGCCATCGAGACGGGCTGGGTAGCTCTAGCCGGGCTCCCAGACACCGCGCAAGTGGCATCAATGGAACTACAGACGTACCCGCAGTGGGGCAGCGCGGAAGAACGCAGGGACCCAGCCCGGGCATCTCGTAGCCGGTCCGAGGCGGGGTCTGGGTGTGCGTAACACTGACCTGCGTTCAAGCAGAGGGTGCGTGGGTAGTCCGTTGGTTCGTCCTCCCGATCTGCCTACTGCTGCTCACTGGCGAGAGAGGAGGGTGAGTGTGATATGCACTGGATCGTCCACAACCCCCCCCCCCCCCCCCCCGCCGCCGGCCTGGAGGGCTCAA